CGGCCCCGGCCTCGCCGATAGTGTTATCGGTCACCCCGTGCTGCTCGGGGGTGGTCCCGGCCCGGCGGGAGGGGCGGTGTCCTGGAGGGAAGTCCGGCGGCCTCGCTGCCGCTGCGGGCTCCTCCTGGTGCTGAGGCTGCGCCTGTGCCCGTGGGGGAAGGGGAGGCTTCGCACTTGTCGTCCCTGAGCTGGCCGAGGTCTCCTGGCCTTTTGCTGCGGGCTCAGGCCGGGGAGCGCCACTGTCTTGTGCTTACCCCGGCTCCCCTCCCCGCTGCTCCCCTTCTGTGCTCGGAGAGCAGTGCTGTTCCATCCTTCCTTCCTGGAAGCTTTTTTCCGCCAAGAAGGAAACTGTAACCATGCCGGTCTGTGATCAGGGTTATCTCTAGGCTGTGTGCAGGTAAATGAAGAGTTATTAGCCTGGCTCTGCTAGGAGCCTTGAGAAACTGTGAAGTGAGCATTAGCAGATTTGGAGTTTCTGCAGTCTTGGAGGGGATGGGGATAAATGAGAGTTAATGTTGAAACACTAACCTCACCTGTAACTGTTAAGAACTTAATTCAAGAAAAAAAAGTACTCTCCTTTTCTCTGTTCCACCCAAACAGAAAATGTTTGGTGCTTGAACTACTTTGTTTATTAAGGAGCAAAACTCGTGTAGGCAGCTTTAAGAAGTAAGCAGCATTAGCCAATCAACAGGACCCAGTGTTCCAAGTAGGAAGGAGAGACGCGTGTCCTTAAGCTGGTTACACTTGAGCCACTCGTTCTTAGTGAGTTGAGGATACCAGTGAAATTACACTTGATTTAAATAGCTGTGGCTCCTCTTAATTCCAGTACAGAATTTTAGAGAAAGTTTGCCTCATAGTGGAGGTAAGGTAAGGGGCAAGTCAGTAACTACTGCTGAGAGGGTCTGTGGTAGATCTGGTGATAAAAGTAAGTCTCAAATACCAGTATTGATACTGCCATGGCATTTTTACGTTCAGCACAAACTCGAGAGTGGTTAAAACTTCTGTTTTATGAACCAAAGTATGGGTGGTGATGATGCCGTAACTATACTTGGCATCCTGCTCGCTTTTTTTCTGTAGTAGGAGGGATGTGGAGGGATGTACACACTGGAGTGTGTTCAAATGTAGAAGACAGAAAAATCGGTGACTGATTTTAATCTCTCTGTGATCTTGTGATGCAAGTTAAAAAGTTTCTTCTGTTCATCCTGTCCTACAGCTGTTGTGGGCAAACAGTGCCAGTTATGACTCCTCTGAATTAGCGTAGCATAATCATGCTGCTCTGTGAAGTGCAATATTTCTGAGCAGTTCTTGTATGAAGGTGAAAATTGTGTTAGTGATAGAAGTGGTTCAGTACGTGGAGACTGACTTTTCCCTTTGGCAGTTCCCAGTTCCATAACTGCCTTTTTTTGTAGGTTGTCAGTCTCTTAGTCACATAATCAGGGGAAAATGGCTTTTTCTGATGTAGTTCTGATGCAAATTCTGTGTCTTGTGGGGATAGGGGGAGAGCAGTGATTTGGGAGATTTTGCTACAACTGGGGTCAGAGACTGCTTTTAAGGTAGAGCCAGTGATAGAAATGCTTTATAAGAAACTGTGTATGATTCTCAGCTCTGTAGGGTCCATTTTGAAATGAATGGCTCATAATGGCCTGTCAGTTGCTGGACTGTGTGGAACAGTCAGCTGATTATGTAAAACAGTGTCATAAATTACAATCTTTTTAAGCAATTCGTGTTTAAAAACTGATGCATACTTGGCCTGTCAGTTTAACTTCTTTGCTATATGAAGAAGCTGGAAGAGCTACTCTAATATGGTAGGGAAGACTTAAAATCTTGAGATTTGCTTTTTTCAAGGAGAGAGTAACTAGTTGGCAGTTAATGTTGTGGTTTTAAGTGGAGTTTTAGATTTACAAATTTGTTGTTTTAGTAATGTTTCAGTTTAAAATGTACAGGTCATATAAACTTTATTTTTGCCATGCAGACTTCTTGTAATGCGAAGATTGGTCTGTTTTTCTGAAAGTCGTTGTTGACTTTTCTCCCTTATAAGAAGTTGCTCAACTTATAACATTTCCCCTTAAAGTTTAACATTACAAACTCAGGAGCTTGTCTTTCTGTCTTGTAGCATTGTTTGGAACTGAAGCAACCAAGAAAGGTTCTCCAGAGGCAGGCTGTTCTGGGAAGGCAAGGACTGGTGCACAGGAATAACTTCAAACATTGGTTTAATAGGTCTCTTAATGGAATGGTAGAGAATGTCCAAAATCAATTGACAGTGCAACTTCAGTTTTTTTTTCTTATTCCAAATTTAAGGTCCTATCCTGAATCAGAAGCTAGTGGGAATGTTTATTTTACAAACTTGTGCTGTCCTTATCCTCCTTTTTTTGCCTTGATAAAGAGAATATCCTTTGATAGGGTTGTTAGTATAGTTCATCTTTTGGTAGGAATTATTTATGTAAAGTTTTTGGATGTGAGTAATAAGTTAGTGTGGTTGAAGAGTTCATTTGCCTCTTAAATGTTGGTGGAAGTCAAAGTGTGCTCTTGATCCCATTGGTGTAACTGAGGCTTGGTGCATAAAACCTAAGTCAAAGTGGCTGAGCCAGGAGCCCAAGTTGGCTTCTGTCAAGCAGGCTGTAAAGGTGCTGAAGTAATGCCTTAGTCTGAGACTCGTCCATCCCTCAGAAACAGGCAAAACTAAAATTTGCTTGAAGTTGAGTTTGCAATAGTGCTTAACTAATCAAATTGATTGTCAGCTACAGCTTTGAGAATTTGGTGGAGGGAGGTAGGTTAACACTTAACTACTAAATTTTCCTTGATCTTTGGCCTCAACCTTATTTCACAATTAAAAAAAGCCACATCTGCCTAGCAGATAATGTGGAATAGGTTTTCCCAGCTAAAAGCAGAGAAAATAGTGTTTCATGAATTGAGCTGTATTTGATATTTAATTATGTCCGCAGGAAATACATGACTTTAACCTATGTTTCAGGACTAACTATAGCCTCTATTAATTTCTTCTCTAAGTACTCAGTCTAGAAAATGTATGGTAATTATGTGGTGTTTGCATTTTTGCTTACCTTCCTCATTATATTGGTCTTGGTACTACTGAGCTACTTTGGTTACCATTTAGTCAATATACTGGCTTTTCATACTCTGAAGTTGCTTTTCGGAAATTAGTGTTACTTTTTGTTCTTAGTCTACTGATGAGTGGTCCATGTGCAGTAAAGTTAGTTGCCATCCATAAAATTCTATAAAATGGAACTCCATTCTACTGTATTTTAGCATCGAAGTACCTTTCCCCCTTACAGCAATTACTGTGTTTTATGTGAACTCTAATTTGAAGGAGGCAACCCTGGTTTTCTGCTGTAACTTATTCAATAAAAATCACCATGTTCATTGACTTTGTGTCAGTGAAAACCTCTTTCTATTAAAAAAAAAAGGGGGGGTATTGCCTGCTTATTCGTATAGCTGGGGTATTAAATCTCTGTTGTCCTTGTGGCTAACATAGTGGCAATCTTCTGTAATTCATGCTATTATCACTGAAATTAACTATTGCACTGTTATTTTTTTTCTTTAGATAAAGAAGTTATTATAGTTATGGTTGTAACTTTCTGAGGTTTTTAGTCTTCTGGCTGCTTCCCCGCTGGTCAGTCTACCAGGTGCATCATCTAGTCTTTTGTATCTAGAAGGACCACAACACGTGTAAGATGCACCAGTGGAAGCAGAAGTGAAAAGGAGTTATATTTAGAGAGTTCTTTTTCTTTGAAGCTCAAATGGCTATAATTCTCTCTTATGCTTACGCTTTCAGTTGAGGTTGCAATGGAATGCTTGGAAAAATACAAATCTCAATATTTCTTCCAACTTTTCTATTGGTGTTTTCATCAGAAGCAAAGTAACTGAATGATAATTGAATGAGTCAAATTAATTTTTATAGACCAAAGTAAGTATTTGGACACAGTATAAATTCTGGCTACTTAGTCATCAGAGCATTGTTTATTGGCATAATAGGTTTTTATCAGACACACTTGGTGTTTCTTGTGGAATGAATATGTAATTTCTGCTTTTTTCAGAAGAAATCAGTTCACTTGGAAGATCCATTTAATGATGAACAACGTGAGCGACATGAAGTAGAAATGCTTGCCAAGAAGTTTGAGGCAAAATATGTGAGTTACTCTGCTTTGTTAAAATACACAAATATTTAATAGTGATAACTTATGATGCTGTAGAGGTCTTAATATCACAGGGTTGTTTTTTCCTGATTAAGGTTGCTGATGTAGTGTCAAGTGACTTCTGTACATTTCAGAGATGACTGTCTCACTGTATTTCATTTAAGCACCTTGAAGCTGCCACAAGCTTATCAGACAAGTCTGCTAAATAGATTTGTCTATAGATGTTATAGCTTGTGAAGCTATTCTTAGAAAAGCTTCCTATATAAATACAACTATTAGATGCAGGTTGATATTCATGCTAAATACTGTGCTGGAGGAAAGAATTTCTATGTAGTGCTGTTGTGCACTATTGAACAGCTGTTCTGTTTGGGCTAAATACTGATGAATCTTGATGAATTTCTGACTAGTTTGGAATGCTTCCATAGGAAGTTACTTGTTGAATAGTAAGACATTGCTCGATGAATTTCTTGTAGCTGCTAGCTGCCTAAAGATAGTCTGCTGACTCCTGAAAGTATGAATAAAGCTAGCTAGTAACATAAAGAGGCTTACACTAGTAAATGAAGGTAGAAAATCAGAAAATGTTGACAAAAGCCACACCCAAACAGGTCTTTAAGAATTCATATGGGTAGGGTTGGGTGATTAATTCTGAGCTGGCAATCAAAGCTCATCATCATGCTGAGGCATGTTGATATTCTGGATTACTAATGAAGCACCTCAATAATAAAGAAGGGAAACAAGAGCAGTCATTTGTATCTTTTGCTATTAACACACATACTAAGATCTATCTATTTTGATTTTTTTTTATTTTTCTAACAGAGGCAGATTTTTCTGAGTGTGCAATCCATACATTCTCTAGCAGTAATTACTATTTCAAAGCATGTTAGCTCTAATATGTAGCAAATTCTTAAACTGAAAAAAATCATTTTCATCTTTTGGAGGAATTGACAGCAATATAGGAAGTGAATTGAGAAGGCAGTTTCAGAATACTGTTTGCTTTTAATTTGAATGATAAATAATTTTTCAATGTGAGAGAAAACTGTTTCAACTGTACTTTTTTTAGAAAACTCATTTCCATAATACAAGGTAAGGACTTATGATGTCCTGAAACAAGTTGCTTAACTACAGTAGATGAAAGTCAATGTAAGCATGTAAAGCAATGTATGTAGGAAGGAGTGGTAGTGGAAGTAATCTATTTTAACATATACATTTATGCATACATCAAAGCTAAACATGTACATTTGTAGACAAAACATTATTAGAGTGAAGAAAACTGAAGCTCAATGCTCAGTAGTCATAAAAAGGGGCAAATAGATGCTTTTAACTATTAGAAAGCAGAAGGTAACAAAAATGTACAATTTTCAACAGTTTAAATTCATGGTGCACTTGCATCTTGATTACTGCTTGCACTTCTGATTTTTTTTTTCCCTTTCATTCTCTGCCTTACCTTACGCCCCTCAACCCCACAAAAGGTAATGTCTTCTATATAAAGAACAACTTATTAGGTTAGGGCCACTAAGCACGAAGGGTGGTGAGGGATTAAGATTTCTTGTGTTAGATATTTTCTGTCCTTTCTCTCTTCCAATATGAGAATCATCCATCTTTACCTGCCATTGATGCTCAGAGGAATTGCAGCTCTGTACGTTGACCCAGTACAACTGCTCATTCTGACAACATCCAGCCATCTTCTGACTCTTGTGAGATGTTTGCTCTGTGGCTTAAACTAGAGCAGGGATGCCATGTAGTAGATATCCTTTCTCCTCCAGTGAATGAGAGGCTGTGTGGTACTGTTGCCAGCTGGAGTTAAGCCACGACACTCCTTAACAGAGCTTTAGTGTAAAAGTAATCACTGGTTGTATGAGAATGGAAAAAAAAAAACCCAACCCTCTATTTCTGATTTGCAGGAAGTACTATATCCTCCCTTAAATTACTTAGGTACTACTTACCTATATCCATTTAAAATGGAGTCAGACAATGTTTTGAATCGTAGCACGTGCGCGGTGCTTCTGGAAAATTTGGTATGTGAGGAACAGTCTACCTTGAAGACTTTTTACTTCTTTTCAGATAAATTCCTGTACTTATCATCAAATCAGTATATTATTTGGTGTATTTTCCAGATCCTAAGAAAAAGCCTACGAATAAATGGATTTTTGTGAAACGAGATGCATAACATACCATTTGTTTACTTGATTATTCAGCCCTTTTTCAGAATTGCAGCACATTTTAAATACCAGCATAAAAATCTGCTCGGAAGGGTTCCTATTTTCACTGTTTTGCTTGCTGTTATTCTCTAGACAAAATCCAGCAGTGTCATGAACACATGATACCGAACTTCAGACAGTATTGTACCTAGTGTAAGAATTTTTCTTGGCTCAAAACTAAGGTCCATCTAATGGATGGTAGCACAGTCCTCTGACACTAGTGAAATCTCGTACTTGAAAGTACAACCAAGCAAGTGTGCACTGTGCCTCTCTGGCAATCTGTGTCTTAATTTCTCCCAAAGCCAAAGGCTGCACGTTTAACCTTTTTATAGCTTTCTGCCATGAATTTGGCAGATCATTACTGGATATTTGTGTTCCATGGCACTGAGTACCATGACTGTGGTCATATAAAAACATATTTTGTGTTAAAATCTGATGAGTTCACATGGTGCTCCATAGTTTCTGTATTGTAAGAAACAGTGAAATATATCCAGTTTTCCTGCACACTGCATGTGATTTTGTTACTGTCATCTAAATTCAGCCCTTTTGTTCTCCAGCTGTAGTGTCTTAACATTCTGTTATTGTATAGAAGCAGTAGTTTTTACCTTTAAACATCCTTGTTGGATTACTGTTCCCTTTTTTGTTCTAATTTCTTTTTTTAAATGAAAGGATATTAATGGTATGGTGCCCTGATTTATCAGTGATATAATGATGACTTCTGGGTTTTTTCTTCCATTCTTTTTTTTTTTTTTTTTACAGTCCCAATTCTTACTTTTTTGACCACTTGTGACTGTAGAGCAAATGTCATAGAACTGTGCGTAACAACTCCAGTGCTTCCCGGGTAGCATAACAAATTTGGAGATTACTGTATTTTTTCTTGCTTGGGTCGTACTTCCTTTGTGTGGATTACCTTGCTTTTATTGATACTGAATTCAGCTGACTACTTAACCATATTAAATTCAGAGCAACTGTGAGATCTTTCAGTGATTCTTGAGTTGTCTTTTTTTCTTTACTATCCTCAGTAATTTGTCATCTTACATCCCCACCCTCCCCAAACTGTTAAACCTCTCTGTTACTTCTAAAGATGAATGGGAATACACGTTCCTTAGTGATTTCACTGATTGCTTTCTTTGCCAAAATGAAATACTTTTTTCTGCCCTTTCTTTCCTCGTCTTAAATCAGGCATCAATTTGAGTGGACCCTCCTTATCTCATGACAATTTCTTGTCTTTAAAGATCTTTGGACCTGTTTTACAGCACTGGAAGTACTACTTTTTTCTACCAAAATTCCTTCCTGCTCTGTGATGTATATTCTTATGCCTGCTGGTTCTGTTGTTTAGAATTTTTATTAACTTACCCAATGCAGTGACCAGGTTTACTGGTTTATGGATTATGCTGTGGCCCTTGTAAGATTCTTCAAATATTGGCATTGTATTTGCCACACATCTTCTAGTTCTGTTGGGTTGTTTAAACCCAAGGGTTGTTTAAACCCAAGGTTACATGTCACAGTTAATTTGTTGAAGTCTTATTTGGTTTTTTTGAATACTTGCATGAGTCGTATTTGCAGTTTCAGGAACTAGCCATCTTAATTTTCTCTGGTACCATGACTTATGTTCTGGGACTGAAAGGTTAGAGGAAAGCTTCAGTAGTAAAACTTCCTTGAACTTCTGTATAGTAAACACTGACAGAGATAATCCCTTCAGTTCTTCTGCTGTAGTCTTGCATCCTTAACATCTTGATCATACGAGCTCTCAATACAGTTCCTTAAACATACCTGGGTAAAACAAGGCCTGAAGGAAAATCTCTAACTATACACACTGGTTTGGGTATTTTCATATGTCTGAATATGAGTTACTATTTTAATCCTGCTTTTGTTCATTCAGCTGTTATGAGACTTCTTATTTTTGTTGGTTTTATTAACTCTTTTCCATATCTGGTTTTAATGACTATCAGGCAGCTAGAATGTATTGGAAATTTTAATTGTTTGGGTTTTTTTTTAATCCCCTTGTACCGAAATCATAGAATCGTAGGATAACCTAGCAAGATATGTAGTATGGAGGTGGATTGCACTACACATTAGTGAGACCAGTACAGGTGAAGAGGTGAAGTATAGTTTATGAAGCATTCTTATACAACCTGCTGACGCTTAAATCAGAAGCATGAATTACATAAGCTCTTGCACTGGATGCACTGGAGTTTAATCAGAATTATGCCTTTATTTTTATAACATTTTTTCTTTATTTTTTTTCTTCTCTCATTCAAACTCCTCTGTTTAAAAAAAAGAATACGTTTTGGGAATGTGCAGTCATTCAGATGTTTTGCCAGATGAGTAACTGCAGGAGATAATAGGACTGATAGAACACTTAGATTGGAATATAGCTTGGAAACCTGAATTAAAAATAGAATGCACTTTTGAATTTTTTCTCCTAGGACTGTGGCATTTATTTATTTAAGTATACTTGAGAGATTCCTGTTTGCTTGCAAGAGCAGATACTTTACTTCATTACAATCTTGAATTTTTGCAAAATGTTGTTAAAATGGAGGTGTTCAGATGCTTACACTTTTCATAAAAGACCAAAGGTGAAACTTCCTTTGAACAGTGTCTGCATACTCTTACTAACAAGTGGGCTGTGATATTTGGATGTCACAACAGGAAAGACTCATACTTACTCTAAGCATGCTCAGAACTGTAGAGTGCAGGCAGACAATTTTCAGGAGCAAGTCTTCTTGAACTCATGGAAGAAGTTACCATTTTAGTGCATGTGGTGCCTTTTGGAGAATTTTATCTTGTAAGACTTGTATATTGACAATTTTGACAACATATGTAAGCTAAAAAACTTAAAGTTAAGTTTAGATTTCTTGAATGTTTGAGCCGGATGTGAGTTTTTACTTGATTTGATTTAACAATGGAACTTCCACATGAAAAAAATACTTACAGAATAAGATTAATTTTACTGCTTCCCAGAGGTAAGTGAACTCCTCCATAGTCTGTGACGCAGCTTCTGGCTCAAGTAACTTTAATGTTTTAAAACTCAGTGTTTTATCTTCAGTCCTGTAAACTGAGATGACTGATCTTACATTTCAAAGGATTTTATCTTAATATATTTTTCTACAGTTATGTCATATGAATGCTCTGACTTCTTAAACTCTTAGACACCATATCTACAAATACTAGATCAGTATTTTTTTCTTTTCATTTAGGCTTGACTTGACTTTAGGGAAGCAATCATGCCTGTGTAGGGAAACACTTTATTGAATGCTAGGCTGTCGGTATTTTCCCTTCTAATGATACTAACATAGTGAAAAACTTAACACTTCCTAAAGTATCGCAGCTCTTCTATCACTGTGCTTTAAAACCATGGGACAGTGAAACTTTTCTCTGAATGGGAAATGTCAGGAAGATCTCGGTCATGCAGAAACGAGGTAGCCAGTTAACACCTTTCAGGGATGATTCTGGTGAGGCATGTTTGCCAAAACCCATTCCTGTGTGGAAGTTTTCATTAGTCATCTAGACTATCTTCCAGAAAGCATCCAAGAAAGCAAAACTGCTAATTCCTTGAATGACTGTTCCTCCAATGCCTTCTGCTTTTCTCAAGTGATATAATACCTTCTTTGTTTTCAGGGTGGAAAGCCTCACAAACATCGGAAAGATCGGCTGCAGGACCTAATCGATATAGGTTATGGTTATGATGAAACAGACCCTTTCATTGATAATTCTGAAGCGGTAAGTAAGCCTCAGCAAAGCTGCAAGAAATAACAAGATAATGCCTTGGTTTTTTGATAAAGAAGAAAGGTAAGGAGAAATACTTTGTGCCTGTGTATAACTGGTGTGAATTCAAAGGGCATACTACTTTGGGAGTCCAATGAATTGTTGTATTTGTAGTCTTATTCACATATCATTATGCACTGCAAGAATTAAGAAAGCTATTCCTAGATCACGTGTTTTTCCAGCTTTAGAAGTTAAATTATTTTTATTTGTGCTTTTCATTTACTGTTGACTGAAATTACACTGGCTCTCTTTAATTTCTTGTACTAGTTCTCTAGATTATTAGTGGATTACTGGTGTTAGGTTTCCTGCATTAGATCAGGAAGCTATTCTTCTCTTAAAAACCAGTAAGAATAGGAGGGTTATTCTAAATGTTCACTGAGTATGTCTGAAAAATTTGAGATAAAACAGGTTGGTTAAACAGCAGGATATTACAGCTTATTTTGTCTGAATATTTTTCAGAAATGAAAGCACATTTCGGGGTAAAAGAAAAAGGTAATAGTTGGGTACAGGCAGTATCAGTAATATCAGGAGGTTTATAGGAGGACATTTGAAGATATCTTAGAGGTGATATGTGAAATTATGAAAATGAGGAAAAACTTGGAAAAAGGAGTGGATTATGTAAAAGCACAGAAACCTCCTATAATTCTCCTTTATTAAATGTTAGAAAGAAGTAGGTGTATGGTTTAGTCAAGTTAAAAAAAAACCACCAACAAATAACAGCTGTCATTTGCCAGCCTACAGTTTCCTCCAGTGCTGAGTGACGCTGGACAAAGCAGCAATGATCTACTGCTCTGGGAAGGAGGGAGCTAGAAGTCTGAGTGGGAGAGGAGAGATTATGAAAAGGAGTTGTGAAAAAAGAGTAAGAAAAGCACGAATGTATTGCTTAGCATACATTATTTCAAGCCTACATTTAAATTCTAAAACTTTACACTAAAGAGCTGTGAGGTTTCTAGCATATAGATGTTGCAGTGAACAATCTTATGAACTGTGTGAATTGCACAGCAAGCGTGCTGCAGAACTGATACCTTTTTGAGCAAAAGAAGTTCAGTAGTTAACCACAGTGCATAGCAGGCTGAGCTCATCTGTGTGTACAGGTAGTTTTTGAAGTAGGTCTCAAGTTGTCTAAAAAGTGAGTTTGCTGTAGATGCTTACTGTAACCTGTAATAATTTGTCCTTTTTCTTGGTCTAGATGAAAACTGTAGTTGAACCTGCCAATATTAAACTGTCCTATCATTATCCTGCAACTTTTGCTGGAGCAATATTAGGGCCTAAGCCTTTGTATATCTTTTCTGAAAGTCAGATTCTGGTCTTCAGCTTGGTAGGAGCAGATGTGCTTCATTTCTGCTAAGAAGCCACTTGAGCCTATAGGTTTCTATGGTTTCTCACTGTTGCCTAAGTTAACCATCCTCACTTTCGAAATTTTACGATACAGGACCCAAGTTCTATCTTGAGTTTCCTGGATTCACTGTGACCTATCACAGATCTGATACAAGATTCGGAGCACTTGTAGTACTTGTAGTACAGGTCTCTGTCAAAGTTGTACATAAGTCTAGCAGAGTTGAACACTCACTGATGTATTAGTACTTATCATACTGTGCTGCCTTCTAGCCAGCAGCAGATCCGTTAGATTTGCAGGAGCATTTACTTCTGCTGTCTCTTGCCAGAGTCCTTGCAAAAACGTACAAAAGGCAGTTGTTAGAGGACCAGATGGTTGCATCATGTGCTAGCTGTGGAAGCTGTTGGGGAGAATGGTGTATTCTCTAAAGATCACTTTCCTCAACAATCATTATGCCTTGTGTCTGCATTACAAATACAGACCAGTGAGAGGCCATCTCTGTTTTGCTTTTATCCCCATTTCTATATAGAAAAGGAGAAGAAAAAATAGGGTGCCAGCTGCAGTCCAAGTGGCTGTTGCAGAGCTTAAGGGTCCTGTAGTGTAGGAGTTTAAGTTCAACAAAACCTCTCATTCCATCTTAGATGCAAATGGGAAGTGTTCAGATGGAAAATCTACATGTCTGGCTTGCTTATCTTCTGTGTGGCCAGCTATTAAATCACCATGTACCCTGAGAAATGTCAGAGCCAAGCCCAGCCTAGACTTACTTCTTTTTGGCAGATGCATTTCTTACACATAGAAAGCTATAATAACTTGAGCACAAACACTTGAAAAATGAGTATGAGTGCCTCTTTAATTGCTCCAGGATTATCCTAGGAAAAAATAATTGAAAGCTTTCTTAGAATTTTAGTCCTTTTTCTTGTCACGAGTGTAAAAGAAATACTGAGCTCTTTGGCATTGAAACAGATTTATTCCATAGCTTTAGAGATATTTTCCCTCTAAAACAGATTTCTGTGATAATGCCATCAAATATTTTCAAGAAATCAAACCAATAAAACTCTAAGCCTGGTTTTATTAGGCCTTGTAATTGAGTTTAGGAATTATGCTTCCTTTGGATCCATTTTCAATTAAGCAGTTTTGTACATGTAACATAGATACATATTGCATCTTGCATATGCGTCATATGCATATTGCATGTTGCACATGTAACAAAGCATTTGGGTCCTCCAAGGATCCAGGAAGGCCATTGTTCTGTTGATTTTTCTCAAGGGTAAGGATCAGGCACAAGTGCAGAGAATCTGCTAATGGCATGATTCTTAAGTAGTGGATTTTAATGGGGCTGGAGTACAGACAGGTACAGGACATGCTTTTCAAGAGGAAGGTTCTTGAAAAGTGATGACAGGGGGAACTTCTGAGCAAAGAGATTTTTCTCAGATTCCTTGAAGGGCACCAGTATCTTCCCTGATGAAGTGAGGTAAGTTTGGGACAACTTGGTAGGCTAGATTGCCATTGTTTACTTTCTGTGAAAATGAAAGCCATGCATGAAATTGTTACAGGTTTGCTGTTACTGTTTACTCTGAAAAGAATCAGTACTTTCCTACAGCATGGTAAAGACTTTAGCAGCACGGCTGCATTAAGACCCATCAAAATCCCTGTGAAAACAGAAAAGTAAGGGCTCCTGAAGAGCAATTCAGTGGATTCAAGACATGGAGCCAGTTAAAGGAAAATATTGCAGAAAATAAGGAAGAAGTACATAGTTTCAGGATGCTGCTTGCTTTGCTGTATTTAGTATATATGCTGTTTGGTAGGTACCTTGCTGTCCTCCTTGGGAAACTTTTAGCTGGTCCTGTTTGGAAGAAGTAGCTTTTTCTCTGAATGCATTTGCAGGCAAGCAGGAAATCTATGTGTCAGTCGATAGAGTAGATATTTTTGGGTTGAGCATTTTGACTGTAGTCAGTGGGTTGTGATAATTTCAGAAAAAAAGTAAATCAAGACCATCTTACTACTGTTTATATCCACTATATAGCAGTTAGTCTGATGGCGAGTCCTAATCTTTGCTTATCTTAATGAACCTATACAAAATGTTCATAATTTGCAAAAAAAACGGTTCCTTCTCAGTGTTTCCACTGCTTTGATGTTCAAAATAGGTTTTGCTATAGTGTGAACTATGCAGAATTACATTCTCTGTGGAATGGAATTGCTCTAGATTATGTCCCCTGTGTTCTTCCTGCATGCACACATGCACGCATGTGTCTAGACAAACGAGGCTGATTACTTGCTCTTGTGATGACCTCTGATTATTTGGTTGGTTGAATGCATTCCTGACAGTGTAAGCTTTATATAGATTCCAAAGGCATCTCAGCGCTCTCTGAACTTCTTGCTATGCAGTACAGAACAGGGATCTGAAGTAATATATGGTGTTAGTGAAAAAGTATGCAGTTTTCTCTTAGTCAGAGGTGACAAGGCTTGTATATCCAAACCAAAGACTTCCCCCATACTGAGTAGGTGAATGCAAAGGAAGAACAATCCACCTAGAAATCTGTAAGCAGTGCAATCTGTCTTTTGAAGCAGCAATACCAGGTAGCCACACTGTCAGGAATGGAATCAAAACATGAATGCCAAGAGCAATGGGAAGCAGACATTTCAATCCTTTGGACATCCAGGCCCCTCTGTCAATATTTCACCCAGTCTGCTATATTCATGGTTCCATAGTAGCCTTCTGTACACTGATATAAAGAATCCTATGCTGCTGGGTAGAGAACATTTCTTTACCTATCTCTTGCCTCAAGAGTTCAGACCCTCTTAAAAGACGACTTTTCAAAAACTGTATGTTAATTTTAGTACGTTAGCAGAAGTGTTGCTCCCTTTCTATATGGGTTCCCTAGAATGCTTTCCATAATTTAAAGGCTTAGTCTCTGCAAAAATTCTGCATCATGATACACAGTTTTTACGTGTTTCTGGGATAAATTTTGCTTACTTCATCTTGTAATCTCCAGACTTATAAGAGGTATGATAGATTTAATATCCTCTCCCACCCTGGCTGCCTCTAAAATCTGAAGCTGATGGATTACCAGTAAGACCATCTTAGTCAAGATTCTTGAACATCTGAGATACTTTTTCCCAGTGAGAATGGTATGTCTTTGGAGAGTGGCAGAGCTCACTGTGTCAGTGGTAATTTTTACTATTTTTGTGGCGTTCTGGGCCAGATGTTGTTTTAGGCCAACTTGATAGTGTTCTCTCGTTCTTGCTGCTCCAGGGAGCTTGTTTTATGCATACCTATGGAAAGCAGTGTAGTTGCTTTAGAAAGATCATTGTCTTTTAAAAAAGAAAAAACAAAAACAAAAACAAAACTGAAAAAACCAACCAACCAAAAAAAAAACAAACCTGAAAAAACTATCAACCTGCAAACGTTAGAAGCGTGTACAGAAAAATGCTACATAGGATCCATTATTAAACATGCTTTCCTTGTATTGAGAGAGAAATTGAACACTGTGGCCTTTGTCATCTGGAAAAGGCTGCCTTTGTAGACCTCAGTAACAAACCTCATCCACACTGAATACGTGCGGGTGCATTAAAGCATCCTTTTTGTAGGAGATTCACTTGCCAGCTGTTTTATTGGCTG